CACACATACTAACCCCAAACATTCGGTAGAATTTATAGAATACTGTAAAAATATATATATATATATATAATATTGAAAAAATCACATTCTCATAGATGGATGGATGGATGGATGGATAGATAGATAGATAGATAGATAGATAGATAGATAGATAGATAGATAGATAGATAGATAGATAGATAGATAGATAGATAGATAGATAGATAGATAGATAGATAGATAAATAGATAGATAGACAGATAGATGGATATATTGTTGGCAGAAGAACATACGGTGATGTGATCTTGTGAGTCATCTCCATGCCAGGCCACAACTTTCAGCAATGACTCCATGATGCCGCATGAAACGAGTGCTTCACCACCTGTTGTGCATGTCACATGTGCATGTTCAATCATGACAATTGTGCAACGTGAATGTTTGCATCACGTCAGCATTTGGTTTGGTTAAGATGAGGAGTGTGGTCACTAATAAAATGTATGCTGACATGTATGTACTGATATTTTATGACAATTTGATAAGACTTACATAACTGAATAAGCAGGACTATGAAATAGGGAAGTTGATATAGTACAATATTTCAAACAAAAATTTGTTTTTCTTGAAGCACTAAGCAAAACATTATTATTAAAAAGAGAATTGATATTCTTTGATGAACATGGCACTATACAGACAAATTAATTAATTATTATTAATTAATTAATTGAACTAAAAAAGAACAAATGAATTTAAATAAGCATAATTTTGAAACAAACCGGATTCATAGCTGGCGAGGTGGTAGAGGAAGGAGAAGAGTGCAGTCGTCAGTGAATGTGGAAAGGACTCCAAATCAGGATCTGCATGAACATGAATATCATCCAAGTAAGTCATATCCCTACACACACACATGTACTCTCTCTCTCTCTCTCTCTCTCTCTCTCTCTCTCTCTCTCTCTCTCTCTCTCTCTCTCTCTCTCTCTCATACTCTATATCGGTTAGTAATTGATTCAATGATTTATTTATTCATAATAAAAAACGCAACTTTGAGCCATCAATTAAAAGAAATTAAGGAAACTTAAAGAGTGAGCTGAGCAAAGATGAACAGACAGACAAACAGACAGATGAAGAAACAAGCAGGACCCACCTGTCATATGCTGTATGCACTTCCTCATGAGGACAGGAAGGAAACCATGATAGAGGGAAGTGCCAGTGGCCTGAGTTATCTGGGACAACCTGGACAATATTCATCATTCATAAAAGTTAGTTGCTGTCTTATTAAAAACAAACTGATAAGTTTTTATTTATGTAAAGTTACTTGTTGTATTGCTACTAATAAAATTTATAAATCCCAATTGACAACTCTCTTTAAAATTTACAAATAATAAAAAACAACAAAATAAAAAAGCATTAGAAGTTTTTTATATTGAACTTTTTATAATTTTATGATCTAATAGATCAAACAAAATTTAGTTTGTAAAAAAAAATATTAGAGAATATGAAGTGGTTATAATAATTATTTGGAAATAAAAAAATATAAAATGTCGTGTTCTGCAGCTGAAAAGTTACTCTTTCTTTTAAAAAAGCAGCACTTTTTTCAAAATTTACTTTTTAAATAACCTTTACCTTGATTGGAGGCAATAAAATTTGCATTTGCATTTTCTTTCATAGAAAAGTAGAAAAATAGTTTTTTACTGAATTTGTAACCACAACTCAAACTGAAATGAGCGATAACATTTAAAATGAACAGAGTTAAAGAAGAGACAGGCAGACCAACAGACATCATCTCAAGCAAGTTGATAACAAAAATAACATAATAATTTTCAACTCAAAAAATTTATTTAAAATTTGTGAACAAATGTAAATACATCAGATTGAACATTTAAAATCTAGTATGAAAATGTTGAAGTTTAATGAATTTTGATATAAAAGCATTTAGCACATATTGGATCATGAATAACTTTTCATTTGTAGCGCATACATATATTTATATCCCATAACAAGAATGATGAAAATAGCAAATACACTGTAGACACCGATAACCAAGAGGTTGAACCATCTCATGAGAAGCGTCATTAAGCCACACAACACAACCTGTTAATATCCACCAACCAAATCAAATGAATGAACCACAATAGCATCAGGACCAACAAAAAGAATGGCAGCAACTTACTTCCTGTTCCCCTCAAGATGCACGACAGCCGTCAATGTCCTCAACGAGGTTGCCTTGATGTCCTGTTGTTCAATGTCATCATTCAACAGTTCATCATAAAATCATAACAATAGGAAGGTTTAGAGAGAGAAAGAGAGAGAGAGAAAGAAAGAGGAACTGTATTCTAATTCTCTTAAAAGATTCTATATTATGTTCAAAAAGAAGGCATAATAAAAGCCATTAACTTTAAAAATAACAACAACACACAAGTTTAGACGACATTTTCCCCGAGATCGGGGGTTGCCGTTTGGCTACCTATGATGAAACTGAAATACCCCTCGACGCCATTCCATCATAAGTAATTTATTTGGCTAATTTTTATGCAGGACGCCCTTCCTTACGCAACCACAGTTATAAGCGGTGGGCCTAGCCTTTGATGATCCAACATCACTCACAAGGCAGTGAGGGTCAGTTTAATGTCATAACCAGGACAACTTAAAAACTAGCTGAAGACAAAACAGACAAAAGACAAAAAGGTGAAGAAAGAAACGAACAGTGATCTGGTGTAGTTGATCATCTAATTCGAGGACATCGACCAGTTCTTCGATGAATCCACTGTACAGGAGACTGCTCAGGTGGTCCTGAGCAGCATTGGAATATACTGCAAGGTGTTTCAAATTTGCGTTAGTGCGTGCGTGTGTGTGTGCGTGCGTGTCAAAATTCAACATCATATGTTTAACCAACATATAATTTAAAAATCAGTTATGATCAATTTAAATTTTAAGTGAAAAAAGTAAAAATATAATAAAAAAAATATTGGAAAATAAATTGAATGGATTCATGATAAAGTGCATTTATTAAATCTTTCCCATTAATATTATAACTTATGAAGACAACACATGCAACAGTCAAATGAACATCAAACAACAAATCTTCCAAATAAACATAACAGACAGTTCTAGTTCGTTCATTCTATCAACAAGCAAGTCAGCCAAAAAATTCATTTGCTCAATAGTGTTGATACACATTTAATTATAAAACACAGTCCTCACTTTTTACCACTTCCAAAACATCTCATTCATGTCATTTCTATGCTTACGGAAAATAACAACGGATAAAAATTCATTCTGCTATTTCTATGATAACAAGAGACAACAAAAACAAATAAAAAATTGAAATAAAGCTAATGGAGGATGGATTGAAAGAAGGACGAAACTGACTGAGAGTGGAGAGTGCCTGGAGTCTGGCTTGTACACACTGCAGTCTCTTCTCATAGTTCGAAAAGCTGAGTGCAAGTCGAATGTGAGTGAACAGCTGCATCTGTTGAGTTGGGTGAACAACACACGTCGTATGGTGGGTGAACAATGTACATGTGTTGCATATGTAAACAATGTTGTAAATAATTAACATATTGAACGCTGCTGAAAAATAAATAAAGAGTTTCCATAAATGTGACAGAAATTGAATAAAAAACATTCAACCAACAAACAGCCAAAAAAGAAACTAACCTCCTTCTCTTTTGGAAGACAGGAGTTGCAGACAATGCTCATCATGATGGTAGCTGCATCTTCGCCTCGTCTATCCAGCTGAGGTAGGTGGATCTGCTGCAAGTGAGGCCCTGGGCCCTGATGCATCCATTCAATCATAAATTCATTCATTCATTCGTTAGTTGGTTGGTTGGTGCAATAAATTTGCATTAGTTGTATCAACCACACATCTGCATCAGTTGCATCAACCACACATCTGCAACAGTTGCATCAACCACACATCTGCATCAGTTCCACAAGCAAATTGTTGTATAAAAATATAATTATGTAACATGTTTAAACACCTATTCATATGAAATGTATAAGGCATTAATGGAATAATTTCAATGCTTAGAAAAAAAATATTATTGAACAATCTAGATATAAATAACCAAACAATTAATCAATCTATTTTTTGCTGGTTCATTCACCAAACAGACAAATCAACCGACCAATCATCACTACGATAGAAACATAATTTGTGAGCAGACAAACGAGCAAGCAATATAATGAACCAACAACCTTCTTGGAAGTAATATCAAGCACCTCATCATAATATTCAAAATGAAGGGTGGTAGCCGATGCAGGATAGTACTGTTGATTGACATAAAAAAAAGTTACACATGATACATATGCATGATACACTGGAGTTGTTTGTGCCATATAAGACCATTTGAGTTCATCAATATGCATGGTTACATAATTTCATTAATATGCATGATTAGTTAGGTTTATTAATATGCATGATTGAATTGTTTCATTAATATCCACGATTAGTTAGGTTCATTAATATGAATGACTGAATTGTTTCATTAATATACATGATTAGTTAGATTCATTAATATGCATGATTAGTTAGGTTCATTAATATGCATGATTGAATTGTTTCATTAATATTCTTGATTGCTTATGATCATTAACATTAATTACTCATTAACACGAATGAATATTTATATTCCCTAATATGCACGATTGTGATGTTTCAATTAATATGCACAATCATTTAGTTTTATTGATATAGAAATACCGGCACTGCCACAGTAAACAGAAAATATTGATTCAGTAATGAATCATGATAAGAAATGATGAATTAAAAATAATGGCAAGGTTTGACTAACACAAGCATGAGCATAACAACACTTCCCAAACAGAGGATGCACAGAACAACACTTAATACACCCTGTAACAGCACATCTTTAACATAGAATGCACAGAACAACAAGAACAACATGGACTAACTTCCATAGGAAGGTCCTGGCAACATGCAGAGAGTCCGAAGCCATTCTCTTTGCCACCCCATGACTTAGCACATGTAGTAAATTTAAACATATCATAGCAGAAAATAAATGCCAAAAAATATAATTTAATGGTCATCATGCCCAGAATATATCATATATAACGTAAAACCATAAAAAATAACGAAATGGAGCAAAAAATATGTATAACCAAATATACAAATACAAAATAGTGATAACAGCGTAGCCAAGCAAAACATTTACATACCCACGTGGCAATGAATGCACACAACAAGACAAAAATATAAACGTAGTCAACATATGATGCTCCACATACAATACCACATGCAAGCATAGTTCACCACACTCCACAACTGTTCAACACATGAGATGAAAGATAATACACGTGGCACAAACACAAGCACAACAGACACACTCCACACAATTGAACAGTGCAGAAGAGAAGAGGTACCTCAGCGAGATGCAGCAATCTGGATATAAGTATTTGCTTCTTATCAACTGGAAGCCTTGTAATGAAGTTGGACCTTTTACTGTTGAAAAATAGCACCATATTTATTGCATATGTATATATATATATATATATATATAATATATACACTCCATCAATTAACTAGTTATTTAGTTATTAATATCAGCAAAAGAAAAGGTCGATTAAATAAAAAAGAATTATTATCCGATAATCTGACAGTTCAAAAATGAGAAAGGGATAAACATCTAGTTAGTACATTAATGGAGTATTTGATGATAGAACATTGTGGAAGCAGTATTCCTGGTTAAACTGGACTAAAACACAAGGACTTGGAATGATAGGAAGAGATTATTATATTTTGGGGTCAACAAAGGAAGTATTTAGAAAAAAGGGAAAAAGTTCAATCAATCAGTTAAACAAAATAAAAGCAGAATTGAGAATTGAATTCTTTGCTTTGGTCATTATACTTCTTTAATTGCAAAACAAGCAAACAACTCCCTCAGACCAGATCTGTTAATCGAAACCACGTTTTGATTGTTGGTGGTTTTGATTGTTGAAATAAGGTGGAGTATAAAATAAATTAGAAATAAAATCAATCAATCAATCAAACCTCGTTTAGCATCCAGAGACCCAGTTCCCCGAGGTAGGACGTTAAATTAGAAATAAAACATAACAGTATAAAGTGTAGTCAGGCAAGAGTAAAAAGTGTGAATAATTTGAAAAACTTCATAAGCTCCAATGCAAAAATGTGGTAGATAAGCTTGCCTGGGTCAAGTGAAATGTTGCCTAAGAAATATGGCGTTTCATGCAAAAAAATGGAGAGATTAGAAAAAGGTCATAGACACGCGTGTGAAGAGCCGAGAATTTAGAATGAAATTGTAAACAGCGGGTTCAGTGTGGAAATCATTTTGTAAAATAATTAAAAAAAAAACTGAAGAATTTATTAACTTAAGAATGAAATTATAAACCATCAGGACGAATATTCGTAATCCATCTTTTTAATGATTTATTTAAAAAAGGTGGTTTACTCGATAAGTTCATCAACAAACTATAAATTAGTCATTAATTTCTTTTTATGAAGTTTACTAAGCATTACAGAAGAAGCCATAGAGAAAAGAATTTTAATTATATTAAAGCTCAAAACTAATTTGAACATGATCTTACAGCTAATGGAGATGCAACAACATCATCACTGCATATCACCAATAACCAGTTACCAATAAAAAGTAAAATATTTAAAAACTAAATAGAACATTTTCCTCATCTTTAGTCAATAATTTCTGATCCTTACAATAAAAATTAGGAAGCGGATATGGTAACATAGTACAGCATAACATGAACATCGAATGACCTGAAAACGTAAAGGACATCAATGACAGCCAGGACAATGGTCATGTCACTGGCTGCCAACAATGCAGTCAGGTGTTCCATCGAGTTGTAGAGATGTCTCGTGAAACTATGTTCAATGAGCAGTGATGAGAAATGAAGAACAACCAACAACAGCTCCTTGTCCTTCTGACCCCCATGATGGGGGTGGGGGTTGCATGCCAGGTGCCATGATAATGATGGCGATGACGACGACGAAGATGATGATATTTGCACTGGCTTGCTGCATGCTTCTAAAACATCATCCAGTATGTCCAAGACGTCCACCCAGTTCAGTAATTCACACTGTTTGATAGTGATGATCAAAATAAGTGAAATTACTTGAAAATGAATCAACTAAAACAAAATTAGGATTATAAATAAAATTAATAAGGTTTACAGCAAGAGGGACCTCTTTTGTTATTTTAATTTGACCAGTTTAAAAAATGAACAAAAATTACATTGCTTGAAATGAAGCATAATTCAGTCAGACTCAATTACTCATAAACAAAATGAGCTCATGTTTCAATTCTTGGAAAATTTATTTAAAAAATTGATTCTCATTCATACTATAATTTGTATGATTCATCTTACTTCAATAAATTTTTTGTTCTCATAATACAAACAAACAAAGGGAAAAATGAGAAAAAAATAACTGAGATAATCATTCATTCGTAAAAAATGAAAAAATTACATAGCCATGCATACTAAAAACTTTGTTTTAACTAATACTAATAATAGAATTAGATCTATCTGTCAGGTAAGAACATTACATGCTCAACCAACTTGAAATTTGCAAAACTACGAGTCAGGCGCATTACACGATGAGTAAAAAAGTACTGCGTTGATAGAAAAATTATTTGTCACAAACATTAAGTATTTTACGACTTAACTGGCCTGGGACAAAAATTTTAAAACCTGTTTTAAACATAAGCAAAATTGATCCATTTTTCATTGACATTTTCAACAACTTATTCAAACTAATCATAGAATATACATATATATATTGCTTCCCACGATGTTGATGACCGCGATATATATATATATATGTATATGTAAATATATATGTGTAAAATACACATATACATATATATATATATAACAAATTTAAGATTTGTTAAAATTTGAAATTAATGCATTTTTACTAGAATATATTTTATCATGTGCCAAACTCATTTAATTACTTACTTAAGTTAATGTGCAGGTTAGCCTGACTTAAGGCATTTAATTGTACAAGTGAGCGTGTAATGCATCCAATTTATAAATTTGACATAATATTGATATATGTCACAATTTTAATTACTGTCAAAAAGCCTTTTTAATATTTATTTAACAGAAGAGTCTAATACATAGATTTACTTAAAAGAATTATTTTTAAAAAATTATTTAAAATTCCAATTCTCCACAAAAGATACCTTTCCATAAACCCATGACTTGACATTTTTTAGCTCGGTTAGGAGTTCATCGTTTGATTTGCAACTGCTGATCTTTTCTATCAAAATTTTGCACTCGGCAGGCTGTTGTAACAAAAAAAGTAAATATTCAAACAAAACGAATTTTGTTCATTCATAAATTGACAAAAAATAAAACTGATAGCAAATGAAAATCAATAATTTAATTTTTAATGAAAGCCAGTAGCTGATAAAGTAAAAAAGAATGTTAGGACTTACAACATCAAAATTCCCTTTTTTTAACTTGGAACGATCTATCTTCATTTTTCATCTATATCTGAAATCTAAGTATTTAATTTTAATGTTTTATAGGGAAATACGTTATTCAAAATTAAGAGCGAGATTTATCTGAAAAAAGCTTTAACCTTTCTTTAATTTTTAATAATTAATAAAACAAATTACATGACCAAGCTAAAAAACGAGTTTAAAAAACGAAATACAACTTGTCTAAACACAATGAAACGAAAATAACGGAAACTAACACATGAAATAATTTGAAACAAAATGGTTAACACGAAATTTAAGTTTTTTTCACTAAAACATCAAAAAAAGAACGTTTTAATCAGACAACACATTCGCATATTACTGTATACGGCCGCCATAACAATGATCGTAGCCCGGATGTTAAAAAAGGAGTATCAAAAATTTTTTTCTAGTTAAAACAATTTTTTAAATTACTCTAAATTTTTTGCTTCCATAATTTTTTAACACTAAAACAGCAAAAATAAAAATATTAATTTATTAAATTAATACCATTAATTTTCTTTGAATTGGGTATAAGCGATATTAAGGTTTTGTAAAGTTAATTTTCTACTATACCTCTATCTCCTTGACCGAAACTGGTACTGCTGCTACTGACTCCAGGGGAGCAATCTGTCAATGGGTTACTTGACGCAAGTGTTTGTGGCTTCAAAACAATTTTTCGTGCGATGCTTCATGAACGAGCCTGGTATGTCTTTTTTTCTTTTTATTTCTATTTAAAATTAAATTAAACATCTATTTAGTTATTTACTATATATTAATATTTTTATTCTATTGCTTTTTTCTCTCTAATATAAATATTCTATAATAATTAAAATTCTTATCTTATATATAAATATTTTCGTGTAACGTCTTACTATATCTTATTATAATTATTTATATCTTACCTTATCTTATATCTTATCTTATTTTTTTTATTAATTTAAAATTTTTAAATTTTAATTATGACAAAAATTTTATTCATCTCCATTGCTATTTTATTAATTAAATAAATATAAATATTAAATATATTATACTTTAATATTAATTTTTAAAATTATTTAAAAAATAATTTCATAAGAATCAAATAATTACCTATTTACTGGCTAAATTAATTGTAATGTCACTTCCGTTAGAATTTGAAAATATTAATCCATTTTTAATTATTTAATAAATTAAGTTTTAAAGAGTCCTACACTATAATGATCTGACTTTGTGTTCATGTTCAGGCTTGCCTACATAAGCCTGGTTTTGTGGTTTGTGCAGTTAAACCTGAGCATGTATGTTATTTAGGTAGCCTGCATAGGCAATAAGCCCAGCTTTTGTAAATTCTAATTTTTCTGAAATTTTGCTTTACCTGAATGGTCTTTATAGGCACGTTGGAGTGTGTTGGAGCATACTAAGTTTTAAAGTTAATTAAATAAAGATTGTTGAATGATTTTTTTGTTCGATACATGTGCTTCATTATCTTATTTAATCATAAATCAAACAATGCATACTATTTAAGTTTTCAATGGTCTAATTAATTCATTGTATAACCATGTATGCTTATTTTGGAATGTGTTGGTGCAAACACAGTTTTAAAGTTAATTAAATGAAGATTATTGATTGATTTTTGTGTTTGATACATGTGCTTCATTATCTTATTTAATCATAAAATAAACAAGCATACTATTTAAGTTTTCAATGGTCTTATTAATTCATTGTATAATCATGTATGCTTATTTTTCTTTATTTATTATTTGTATTTATTTTTTGTTTTACTTTTTTTATTTTTTCTTAGTTGTTTGTTTTCCAAGTTTTATGTTGAGCCTAGTTGAATTTTTATAAAATAGAATTATAAAAATTTTATTGTTGATTGATTGATTGTTTGATTGATTGATTTATTGATTGATGATGAACCAGATAGTGTGTAAGGCCCTTCATGCCAGCACTAAAACTAAAATTATACATTATTAATTTATTTTTTAAATCAGCGAAAACAAAAATAAATAAATAAATTTAATAAAAATTCCCAAATTGTGATCATGAATAAAGTCTTAAACTTTAAATTTAACAACAGTGTCAACGTCAATATCTCTGGTAAGTTATTCCAGATTATAAAGATTTGGTTGGTAAAAAATATTTTCTGGTATTGTTCAATTTCTAGTATGAGAATCTAATCAAAATTTACTATTGGAGAAGATCTTCTGCCATAGTACCAGTGGTGATATTGTTGAGCCATTAAATCACATTAAATTCTACTAAACATCTAGAGCGAGACTAATTTTTAAGAAGAATAGTTTGGTATCTGGACAAAATATACTGAACAAAATCTCTTTTCAACTATTCTCAGAGATGTCAACATCAGACACACAGTGCATATGAAACAACCCATCACACACATTTCATGTGAAAGGCAGGGATCTTTTTGCAATTGAATCCAGTCACTGCAATAGCACTGCCAGGCACTTTACAGCTGAGCCAAAACAAAACATACTGGTCAAAGTATACAATGAGCATTCTACAAAAAATATTTTAATGTCAGAATAAACAGCGGCACAATTGAATACATAGAAACGAAAACAATGTGACAAAACTCAGAAATTGTAATTATGAGCAATTACTCACAAGTAATGAATGTTTTGGCTCAGTATGTTTTGACCTCAGTGTGTTTTGTTCACTATAATTTTGTAAAGTATAGTTTCAGTTTATTTTAGTTCATTATATTTTGACATAAGTATATTTGGTTCAGTATATTTTGTTCAGTACAATTTGTCCTAGAACAGCGTAGTTTCTATAACTTTATGCAATCTATGTTGCAGACTGCTTGCATTCACAAAACCCTAACTTCTAAACTTTTTCTAACCCTTCCAAATATATATTGTAAGTACATGGTTGTCTTTTTTGGTAGAAAAACTATTTGTTGCATGTAATCCTACAGAGGCAATTCTTGTGAAATTGGTCAACCCTGTGATAATTGATCACTGTGATCAATCATTGTAAACCCATGGGAGGCATTTCTTGTAAAATTGGTCAAGCATACGTATTTGATGATGATAAGTGGTCCATGTCTCGCCCCAGTACAAGATTTAGGTGGTCTGTTCTATCTAAACTTTTTTATGAACAATTTTCTCACTCATCTTTTTCTGCTCAACAGTGTCATGACTTTTTTGTAGAAAGAATTAATTCTTTACGAACATCTAATTTTCAATCTACTTCTCAAAACTTTACTAAACTTACCACTGAATCTTTTTCTCTATTTACTCCTATAAATCTTCTAGAACTTCGATCTTCGTTTATAGTTATCGTCCGTTTTGGGTCGGACTTTTTTATTCCATTCATCAGTTTCTGTCTCCAAGCCGAACTATCCATTGCGTCTGTCTCCTTGAGACCAATTGTCTTTAAGTTCTCCTGTATGATCTGCGTCCAGGACTTTTTTGGGTGCCAGGCACCTGGTGCTCAGTAATGGAAATTATTGTAACGTTTTCGCTTCGCTTCACTTGGCCAAACCATCGTAGGCGTTGATGACGACATGCATCCTTCAACGTGCACAGTCTCGATCGGTTCAGGATCTCGGTTGTATGGATATGGTCCTTTAGGTCAACATGCTGCATCCAACGAATCATCTTCATGTCAGTTCGGTGAAGCTGCTGTTCGAGTTTTGTTGTCATCGGCCACGTCCCTGCACCATACATCAGAACAGAACGTATAACTGTTGTATAGCTTTGAACGCAGCGGTAGAGGAATGCTACGCCGCATCAGTACCGAGGTAAGGAGGTGCCATCTGCCCCACGCCGCACGTATGCGTCCATTTGACCCAAAGGCTAGGTGCACTGCTTACCACAGTGTTCTTTTGGGCACGAGATAAACTGCAACCGCGCTGCCTTGTGTGCTTTCAGCAAACAGTCTAGGCCAACTGCTTATAACTAGTGGTTGTCGTTAGGAATTGGGCAGTTCCAGATATAAAAATTTTTTGACCCAAACATCTTCCATGTCACCACAAATCTTCTAGAATTTACAATAACTATTAATTCTATGCCATCTATAACTTGTTCTATAGATCTACTTCCTTCTAATTTGCTTATAAAATATCCTTCTCTCTAGTTTGTGGACTTTTTCTCTAAAACTCTATCCCCTTCTCTGACTACTTCTCCATCACTTTTGAAGTTCAGAGCGGATCTCAAAACTCATCTGTTTGCAAAATTAACTAAGAAACGCTGTTGAACATCGCGGAAATAGCGCTTTACAAACTGATTGATTGATTTTGTTACTTTGGATGTTATCTGACAAACCCTTTTAGTATTAACAATGGCATCACTGCAAGGATTGCAAAACTAGGGCATGCAGATGGTAATCTGATCTGACAGTTGTGGGATTAACCTGGAGTTACCTTGGTTACTAAGATTGCTGTGCACGAGGCAGATGTGCTGTGTGTGGTGGATGTATGTAACAAGAAAGGTTTTGTGTGGACTTGGAACTTGTAAACAGTTGATTTTTTGTGTTTTTTATTAAAAACCGTCTATTTCAAAATTTTACTCTAATGTGGCTGTGACTAAAGCTATAAAGAAAATTGTCTTCACTACACGTCACCATAGTGCTGTTGAACCGAGCGCACGTTTCATTATCCAATTTAATCTGCATATGTTTAGAAGTGCTTTTATGGGTTTCAGCAGATAATCCTGTCCCCATATTGCACGTTTTCATTCTCAACCAATTTATTCGTTGTGCTCCATCTTTTTTGCATCAGCATGCCTTCACAATCTCTCAACTGAACATCCTTTGGGGCCATTCAATAAATATGTCACGCTTTTCATGCCATTTTTTAACTCCTCCCCCCTCCCTGTCACATCCTGACCCCACCCCAATAATTGTCACACCTGACCACCCCCACTCCATTTTACGACCTATAATCCATTATTAATAGATTATAGATAGCATCATGACCTAAGTACAAAGTATAAATCAAAATAAAAATGTCTCATAACGATTAAGTTCATGTTCATGGCTAATTCTACAGTTCGGTCCACTGTTGCCAGATGTTGCTCCGTTGTAACCAATGAAATGAGTATATCATTGCCAGCATTGTCTACATTTAATCCTGTACACAAAGAAATTATGTGTTTTATTTTCTGTTGTTTAATATTAAAATTGAACGGTAAACGTCGGAAAATTAAAAATTGCGATAGAATAAATACGTCTAAATTATTAAAACATTGGTGAGGATATTCACCATTTAGTGATGATCCACACACACCACCTAATATTGATGGGTCTCTCCACCAATGTCAAAAGAGCCCGACATCGTTAATGTAGGTGACTTTTACATCACAATACTTTTAGAAGGTGAATGTGTCTATCAGAGGCTGATATGGTCCACTATGGACTACATTTTAATTTGAATAGTGAAGCACTTCCAGGATAAATACAATCAGATGCCATTAGACGGTTGTTATACCCATGAAAATTCTATGTAAGATATTAATAAAGAATGCTATAAACACAGTGATATGTAAGGCCGCACAAAAATGCCGGAAAAACTTACCAACTACATCCAGAAATTCTTCATCAATACATTCAGCATCTTTCATGTTGTCGTGGTCTATTGTTGCCATCCACTCTCACTGTCTCCTTGCAGCTAACCTGACTGGTCTTGTATGTTGTATGGTTAGTTCTATGCCACATGTTAGGGTATGAGCTTTCAAGCTGGCCAGTGAGGCGATACAAACCACATTGCTTGCAGATTAAAAATGCATCCTTACACCTATAACTTATCTTTGACCTAAATGACAGCAGGTTGGCAGCATTCTTCGGCTTTACGTTGCTAAATTCAGTTTTTTCTGAACTAAGTTAGTCACATTATCTTTAGCTTTCACGCCACACCAAAACGCATTTGTATCTGACTGCAGAGACTGTGCACTTTTATTTGGATAAGTCAACTTAGATGCCTCATACAAATCAAAATATAATTTTCGTTTATCAATCATTTTGTTTATACTGCCTGCTAGAATATCTAAAATACTTAAGACTGAAATGGTAGCAGCACTGCTCTGCCTAAATATCGAACATTACCACACCCGGAACGTATCGGCACTTCAGCAGCAGTGTAAGTACGCTTCAGGTTAACACCCCTCCCTCCCCCCGTCACATACTGTCACACGACGAGCCCCCCCCCCCTCTCAGCGTGACATAATTATTGAATGGCTCTTTTATGTTTTAATTATACTTGATCATTCGTGTGGCAATTTTTCTATGCATTTGTGATTGCTACTTTACTTAAAGGATTTCACATGGATTTTAAATGCCTATAAAAATAATTCACAACAAATATTTTTTTTCTTGCAGCTCTTGCAGTATCAATAGCAAATACTGGCATTCTTAGCAAATCAGGTTTTCCATCTATAAGTGAAATTCTGGATGGCATATTATTTGCCGCAGTACCAAAAAACCGACGATCCAGAGAAAAAAGAGCAAAGAGAAGATTCGGATGCCACAAAGTGAGGGAATACATGACTCCGAAGACAAACATTGTGGTCTGCCTTAATTGTGGACATTATCACGAGAGCCACACACTTTGCGGTATGTATTGCATTACATGATCCTGTTTGACCATAAATTTGTTGAGCAATGATAAATTAATTTTTATTTTAACAGGTCATTGTTATGATAAAGTAAAAAATCAAACACCATCCAACAGAGAAAATTTATTATAGTTATTTGTTTTTTTAAATATTTTGCAGTGCTAAATAAAATTTTTAGTTCATTGTTGTTCCTAAATGCAAATTTATTAAAATAACAAAACTATGTGAAAACGAATGCGAAGTATATTCCCAATAAAAAGATGGACGCCGACTCTCGATGAGTGTTTGATTTACGAGGCAGCTTGTTCTTCCAATCCAATTCCCTCTAACAAAAGTCCCATGGGAGTTCTTTTCAGTCCCACATATTCCATCTTGTTTGACATTTTGTTCTTTAAACTTCTTAGTCGAAAGCTGGCATGCAACAGTATAACTTGAAAAAGATATGAACAAAATGTGAGGAACAAAGTTGATAAATAAAATATTAGATGCCAATCAAATAATTCGTGACTGTTTATAATTCCTGATGAGGCGGCGCGATCGATGGTGTACTGGCTAAGGTGCCTGGCATTGTTGATGCAGTATACGGGTTCGAATGCAAAAGATCCCCGCCTATCACATCCAAAAGTGTGTGATGCGTTGATTCACGTGCATTTACGCACCGTGTGTTTGTTGTAATAATGATAATGCGCCTCAGTCGCTTGCCATGGCGCTATATAAAATGACATTACTACTTACTACTGATAAAATTAGTTTAAGATCATTTTTTGAATAAATGGAATTAACAAATTTATCCCAATTTCATCAATGCTTCATGTGTAAAATGTAATCGATTGTAAAAAGCTGAAGGTAACACAAAATAATAGAAATATTTGAGTAAAGAACTCTGTTATGTTCAGGTTTTCATATGAATTGAAAACTAATGAACTAACTGAATAATGGAAAAGCGATCCCAAAGCAAAATACAGCAACAGATCCAAGGACATAAATGAAGAAGTAGCATAGAGCAATGATGCACAAGACGCCAACTATTGGATAATTTTTTTTAAATCTTTTCAGTTCTTGCTTCATGTTAGAAATGGTGATGAATATGGTGATTGCTCCAGCTAATGTTAAACACCCAACTATCATGTCCACAGGATGATATATTCTGTTTTAATGTAGATGAGATTCCACTTAAAATACTTTTTTTACAGGATTAAAAGTGTGAAGTTGTGACGATTGTGATGATAATGATTGCGCGATTGAAATATGCCGCCAGTATATTTTGTGAAATTGTGACGATTGTGATGATAATGATTGCGTCTTTGAGGCGTGCCGCCTGTATATATCTATATATTTTAATAGACATTCTATGCATGTATATTTTGTTATTTGATATGCTGTATATGCGACGCTGCTGTGCTGTTTTGTATATAGGGAGTATAGCAATATATGGGACGCGTGCTACGCGCTGTTCTGAGTATAGGAAAAGAGTATAGATGTGAGTATAGAATTTTCTATGATATAGAAAGCGTTATGTAGATAGGGCGGTAAAAACATATAAAAGGCCGCGAGTTGAGATATATGGGAGGCTGGTCGTTTGTTTTTTTTATTTTAGGTTTTGTTTTTTGCTTGGTAGTTGTATTATTAATAGATAAATTTTGGATTTATCGTTTTTTTTAATAAAGACAGAGGTTTGATTTGTAATGTTTTGTTTGTTATTTTGTTTCTTTTATTGAATAAAAGAAGTGTACACTTGAAGTTTGGCTCGGCTTAATTATTCTACCTAAAATAATGAATGTTGAAGAAGACTTGCTGATAGTTGACGAGGTTGGCGTCTCTAGTCAACAAGCAGGGCGCGAACAAACTTCCGCCCGGCCCGTGTTTTCAGACCCTGAGAGGGTCTATTGTAGAGTGGCGGATCCCGGCCAGGAAAGACTCTGCCGAAGCGAAGGCTCGGGTGGATATTCGTATGCGGACGCGGTTCGGGACCGCGTGGTGCAGAATTCGAATGTCGCCCGGCGAAAATCTACAAAAGAATTTTATAAATTGCGTGTGTTAATTATAAAATCATTATTTAATCAGTTGAATGACCAAATGTTTGACGTGTAAGTGTGAGACATGCGAGTGGAATTTGAAAAAAATGTAACATAAACTGGTCTGGTGTAATAAAGTGTCCCATAATTGATAAGATTAGCGTCTATACTAAAAAAAAGGTTGCATAACGCAATAAATGGTAATGTAGTGGAGCACGTAGTGGTGTCTGGGCATCACAACTAGTTACATTTTTTTTAGCTTTGATGAATGCATTTCACCATTCTGGCATTGTTTTTATTCAATAGAATATTTTTTTGACAATTAAAATGCTAAATTAAATTGATATCTAACCCTATCAGTGTAAAAATTATGAGAGCCATAACAAAGTAATTGGTCTGGAAGTACAACAAGTTGTTAATAATCCTGTTTGTCCACTTATCAATATTTCTGAAGTTGGGTGCCTGAAACCTTGATAAGTCCAGAAGAAATTCATCCAGTGGTTGAAATGGTGCGAAATCAACTTTGCTGCTCATATTTTAATGTTTCTGAAATGTGATGTAAACATTCATTAAACTAATTCAAATTGTCATAATGAAACATTGACAAATTTAGGCTTCAAATGCCACAGCACTAGCTGTTTAATTTAACATTGAGTTAATGAAATTGTAAAATAAAATCGATTACAAAAAAGGTCCCAGGAATGAAAACAATTCTTAGCATAATTTCAGAATATTTGAATTCACAAATTTATATTTATTCTGCATAGCATAACTTTTGATCTTCCAGTCATGGCTAACAGTGATTCATGATAATAATGATGAAACTTTTGCTACAAGTGTAGACAGGGTCGGTGCGAACGTATCAAGGGCCAGGTGTAAAAAAAATGCGAGGCTGTAACTTTTAAAATAAAAAATTTACGGAAAATATACGAATTAATATAAGTATAAATTTGTTTTTTTTTTTGCCGATTTTATACAAACAGCAAAAACAAGTAATCTACACTTTTAAAAGACACAAGTTTTAAACCGATACAAGAAATTTATTAGTAATTTAAACAAAAGTAATAATAGTGATAACATTTAAAGCAATATCGAATACAAATTTCAAGTCAGAGAGGAATCGAAGGTAATAAAAATAAAGAACAACGATTCGTATAATGGCTGTGTCAAAAAATTTAAAAAAACTGAGCAAAATTCACAAATAAGTATTTCTTGCATCCATATTTTTTGAAGTCATGGCTAGTTCATGTCCAATCTCTTTTTCTATTGACAAAATAGCCAATCCTGTTAGCCGTTCTTGTTATCAGGAGTTACCATAATTAAAAATTTCAGTTCGTCAAACATTTCCAATTTGTCAAAATTAGAATCGAAATTTCCTGATGATAAACTAGTATACAAGTTGTGACAGTTCTTTCGTAATTCTTCATCAGAAAAATCTCTAATTTGCATTAAACTCGTACATAATTCCAAACTTATCCTTGAATTTTTCATATAATTTGAATTTTTCTTTAAATGATTCTATAGCTCTATCAACAATCAATAAGAAGTATTCCACTCGAAAGTTTTCTTTTTCACTTTCCAGAATTTCGTCGGTACTCTCATAGTCAAAATACTTTGACCTTTCTTAACTTCGTTCATTAAACTGAGCTGGAATATCGTCTTCCGCGATTTGTTTAGCTTTTTGATTACTTTCTTTGCAACCATTCGTTCGGAAAATGGCTAGCTTATGAAACAGCTCTGGCAGAAACACTTGACGGATCCGAAAGTATTAAATTTAAATTGTGACAACCACAAGGAGCATAAAAGTCTCGCGTATTTTCTTTTAGAATATTTGCTTGTACTCCAGATTTATGTCTTTTCATATGTGCTTCATTGTCATATTTTAGTCCTCTGCTATTTTCGAGTTTCAATCCTAAATTTTTCAAGCGGTTTTTTAAAAAACTTGGGTTAATTCCAAACCAGTAAAATCTTTTCCAACCAGCTGTCTAGCAGAGGTTTGAAGTAATTTACATGGGAAACCAAAAACTAGATCTTTTTTTTCCTGAATATATCAGCCAAGTTCTTTCAACTACTTTGTCGTTATTTAATTTTATTTTGTAATGTATATCAGAAAAGGACTTAGAAAGGGAAAAATATGAAAACCTGTCAACAAATTGTTGCCAAACAATTTTTTTACCATTATGTTTGTAAAGGTGTATACTTTCATGGGTTAAAATGTTGAAACTCAATTCCAGTAGGAAATGCCAAAAAAGTTGTTAAAATTAGGCAATGGTAATTTTTGGAAATTTCATTAAAAAAATTTGAGATAAATAAAGAATTTTTAATTATTCATAACATGTGCTTAACATCTATATTTCACCATATACATTTGATTAATGAAAAATTGATTTTTAACTGTTTTATTTTAATTTTTAGGATTGCATTATTGTGTAGTTAACATGGTTGATAGAGTCGGTTCTGTGCACAATTATGACGGCCCCGACCCACCAGCTCAGGGGCTAATAAAAGCATCTGCGAAAGGCTATTTATATTATTAAAGCAAGCATAAGTGGTAAATGATTATAAAACTTTGGGACGTATACGGGAAGCTCATAAAAATAAAAACATGAGGTACCGCAAAATGTAATAATGTAAAAATCTATACACAATTTTGTTGAGATCACCAAAAAATCGTCTCAAGATTTGCAGGCCCAAAAAAATTTATCAAAGATCAAGAAAAAGCGCATTTGCTCCTAGTTCAGTACGTTCTGCTGGGTGTAATTCTACAAATTCGTCATCAGTTTGCCTTCCATTTAATAATGTATGCATTCTTTGCAACCAACCCAAAATAACCCGGCTGAAGCTAGAAAGAAATACAGAGTGCCAGGCAATTTGTCTGCAGATAAGCTAAAAGCGATCTTGCTAAAAAAAGCAAAGAGTCATGGAGATGCATGGGGTATTGAAATAACTGGACACCTGGAAGAGATAAGCGACTTGGTTGCAGAAGAAACACTGTATCATTTGCAAACCCAGCCGTCCATCTTTCCGAGGTCGGTAAATGGGGAGACGACGTAAATTGTCGCATGCTGGCCGGCGAGATGGCTCAGTGGTTCAAATGCGCGCTGAGTCAAACATTTCAATGGCTATCATATACTCAGCGTACATGATGCGGTGCTTGCGCGTGCACATAAATACATGTGTTCGTCGTGTGAAAAGGATAAACAGCCTTTGTGGCGAAGATAGCTGCTTCAAATCAATGGATAAAGATATGAAAAACATAATAAGATATATAGAAAATATATATGTAAGGTTGTAAGTGGTTCTGCGTATATATATACATAGGTATGGTGCCAAAATCTGACATTCTACATTGCAAAAGTTTTATTGACTAAAGTTTCAAAAATGTCCTCCGTAAGTAAAAGTAAAAAATAAAAATTGACCAATTAACAGAAAAAAGCAATTTATCATTACAAAACTTTCAGTTGATTAAAATACAAAGGTCAATTGTTTGTGCAATTTAAAAGTTGTTGTGCAGAATAAATCTGAAGTTCATCTTGTCAATATCTTTTGCACAAATTTCTTGCACAATTTTTATGGCTCAGATATTAGATCTCTGAATTTCTTGTATGCGACTGGGCTCCTGGGAACAAAATGTTTTCAAGGTTTTCATGGCTGTAGTTGAAGTTATTGCTTGTTCTAAATTGTTAAAATTATGTTCTAAGTATTGAATGTCAGAAAACCATATATCAGACCAAGCTGATGCAATGAAGTCACAAACCATGCAAAGTTGATTATTATTCGACTCTTTAAAATATATGCCAGGAGAGCATAGATTGCTTTTGAATTCCATCTGGCATTGTTCAATGATGGCAGACTTGAATTTTATAGCCGGATAGCTACCATTCACCTTCATGTATTGGTAACTTTGTACCAACTCAAACAAAAAGTCCATATCATCTCTTCATTTATTAGTCTTTACAAATTTTTTCACCTTGCTTAAAGTTTGATTTTAAATTTTTATAATTTTTTGCAGGTCTACAATAAATTTGTAATGTACTTCTGATGATGAGCTTTATCCTTCATCTAAAATGTCATTCATGGAATGCTTCAAAATTGTGTTTAACACATGATGCTGACAAGCAATAAATTGAACTGGTTCAAGATTTTTTCTTTCAAATTCTCTTTGAAGTTGGCTTTCAACTCCGTTTTTACTTCCAGTATTAACACTTGTGATATCAGATATTATAGCTTTAATACTACTCCATAGTTGAAACTTATCTAGCACTTCAGCTATTTCACTGTAAATACTATTAGCTTTACCATCACCCAGTTTCAAAATGGCTAACTTGACCTCCTTTTTTGCATTTTTTAAAATCAAGACTTGATACAATTTTGCAAACTTCTGCTGATCTCTTAATACTTAGTTTTGACTTCTTAACTAAGTTAACAGCAACAGTGGTGTTCTCATATTTTCTTTGTTTATTTGTCTGGCAGATTATAATCAGAATCTTGCTCATCATCTTGTTCATTGTCTCCTTTATTGTCACCACTGACCTCTACTGTATCTGTTTTAGCTATGATAATTTTCTTCTTGCCAGCTTTAGATGGATGTACTTTAATAATTTTTGATGAGCAATAACCAGCTTGACCATCAGTTTTTATCTGTAATAAATAAAATTCTTTATCTTCATTGCTAAGCCAGTTACCATTCACTTTGGTTATATAAAATATATAACCCCACTTTTCTTCAAAACGTTGTTTGGATTTTTGAACAGAATGATATTTCTTAATAAGAACTTCTACATTTTTGTTATAGACCTTTCATTAATTTTTGGTAGACTCAGTTTAAGCCATAAATCAGATAATTCTGTGCCAACCATTTTACATTTCGAATACACTGACTTCTCTAAATTTGATAAGTAAGTATACAGACCAATAATAAAATAAGCTTTTGGCATTTTATTCATAAAGCCAAGTGGCCGCAAAACTTTGTGTATATAAGATCTTGTTGATTTTGATTCTTCAAAGTGGACTAGATTTTGTGTCCAGGCTTTGATATTTTCTGGTTTTTCAGTTATCTCTGAGCTTATTCTGGACATTCTGAAATATAAAGTAAATTGAAATACTTTTAAGTTACATGCAAAATTAAAATGAAATCTAGTAAACACAAAAAATCACCTTGATTGGAACACGTATATCTTGAAAGCTAATGACAATAATTCAATCTTGTGCTTGCAGAAATTGATAACATTGGATGTATTCAAACAATGTATAGTCAAAATTATATACTTAATATGTTGTTTATTTGTATCAGACTACACCAAAGATTATTAAATTAATTATTATAATTACAATAACTTTGTGCTACATATTAAAAATTAAAAAACAATTACAAATTTTTATTTTCATTTTACTATTACGGGGGACATTTTTGCAATTAAATGTCTTAAGGTATATCAATCAATCTTCGTTTAGCGTCCAGAGACCCAGTTTCCCGAGGTAGGACGTTGTTTTCTTTGCCATCAACTTTTTGCGCCAAATTAGACGATCAGTTGTATCCATTTCATTTAAATTTAGAGCTTTCATGTCTTGCTCGATTGTTTGCGACCAGGACTTCTTTGGACGGCCTTTGGGACGTGTGCCAGGTACTTCAACATCTGCAAGAGAAGTTATGGCACTGTTTCTACTTCGTTTGACATAACCAAACCACCGCAGACGTGTTTCCAACCGTTGTGCTGACGAGAGTCTTAGTATTCGTATACATTTCCATCACAAGTCGAACAAGATATTCTGAAATGAGTTGTCGAAGTAGACTCCACCTGATTGCTTCACGGGGAACTCGATCAAATGCTTTTTCAAGGTCTACAAAAATGTGTGATAGTTATTGATGCTTTGCGAGGTACTTCTCTTGCAGTTGCTGAAGGATGTGAATTGCATCAATTGTTGATTTCCCCGCTAGGAAACCATATTGATTATTTCCGATTGTGATGCACGACGTTAATCTTCTCTCAATGATTTTCTCGACAATTTTCAGGGAGTGTTCTAACAGACGTATACCTCGATATGATGAACTGTTCAATAGATCACCTTTGCCTTTGTATAACGGAACTTTCATGCTATAGTTCCATTCGATCGGCATTGAGCAATTTCTCCATACTTCACGGAAAAGTTGTAGTACCTGGCACACGTCCCAAAGGCCGTCCAAAGAAGTCCTGGTCGTAAACAATCGAACAAGACATGAAAACTGATCGTCTAATTTGGCGCAAAAAGTTGATGGCAAAGAGAACAACGTCCTACCTCGGGAAACCGGGTCTCTGGACGCAAAACGAAGATTGATTGATTGATTGATTGATATATTAATAATATTAAATGATGCACCAACTATGTCTTTTTTCGTACGCTTTGCTTGTTTTGCTATACGATACTGAGATTTCATTTGTTCACCTTTGCTTATAGTGAGCCACTCTCTGCACTGATCTGTCCGAGCCAGTGCAACTTGACGTCTTGCATAGTTGTTCTTCTCACGGAAAATTTTATGATCATCAACAGACTTTGATTTTTGCCATTGCTTGTATGCAACTTTCTTTTCAGCTATTGCATTTTGTACACTGTCATTCCACCACCAAGTGTCACGTTCATGCTGACGTTTTGTAGTTGCAGCGTTTATCGAAATTGTTTTGTATGTATTCCAATCTGTACTGGCTTGCGATTGGTGGTCTAACTGTGTGGCGACAATCTGTTGAAATTTTTCTCGATGAATATTGCTTTTCAGCTTTCACATTTTGATTCTCCAAGGCATTTGTTTAGACTTATGTTTTGACAGTTCGACAACCAGGTCTGCCACAAGGAGTCTATGTTGGGCGACACATGATTAGCCAAGTAAAACTTTGACGTTTTTGAACAGCCTTCGGTGTGGTTGCTTGACAGCGAAGAAATCAATTTGCGTGGCTGATGGTCCACTTTTGTATGTTATGAGATGTTTCAACTTCTTTCTAAAATATGTGTTCAGTAAACAAAACCCGTGACTTTCAGCAAACTCAAGGATGCGGTTGCCATCTTCATTCCGTTTTCCATAGCCAAAACCGCCATGTACGTTGTCAAAACCATCTGTTTTCTCTCCAACGTGGCCATTAAGATCGCCTTCAATCAGGATTGTTTCAGATTTTGGTATTGTTGAGATGGTGTCAGAGAATGCAGCCCAGAAGTCATTTTTCATCTCTTCTGATTTGCCTGTCTGTGGTGCGTATGCAGAAAAAATAATCATTGTTTGCTTTTCTATGCGAAGCTTGATCCACATGAGACGTGAATTAATCCTTTTAACATCCAGTACTTCTTGGGCTAGCTGTTCTTTGACAAAAATTCAAACACCATTTTTGGCTGTCTTTTGACCATTCCAGAATAGTTTATAATTTTTTTTGTCTGAGTTGACAAGACAGACACCATTCGATTTCCATTGGGTTTCCTGAAGGCAGCAGATGTCAATCCTTCTACACTCGAGCATTTCTGCCATTTCCATGCTGTGGCCAGTCAATGATCCAACATTGAGCGTTCCAAGTCTAAGTACCATAGAGAGGCCATTCTGAATTTTTCTGCAACATTCCTCCACTATTGCATACTTCCCAGGGATTCTTGGCACCCCTTGACCACTTAAGGCCTGCTGGGGACTAGGGGCCGTTGTTTTTCTTTGTGATGGCATAGGAGTAATTTGGGGAAAGTTTTTACATCTGGACACCTATCCTGACGACAACCACCAGTTATAAGCGGTGGGCCTAGCCTTTTGCTCAAAAGCACGCAAGGCAGTGTGGATGCAGTTTTATGTCATGCCCAGGACGTAATATTAATAATAATAATAATAATATAATATATTATTATTATTATTTTCAAATTAACTGAATCCCCAAGAAGGCTTATTGTTATTCATTTTAATTAGAAAAAAGGTTATCAAGATTGTTGAACCTCACCTGAATTTAATTATTAATATTAAATTAATAATTAAATTAAAATTAAGTCAATTTTTTAATTAAAACAGAAAAGTCACAAGCCAAGTCATCAAATTACAAAGATCTCATCAACATCAAAATGTATTAATCATTCATCACAACCTCCAATCATAATCATAAAAAAATGAATAGATTCACTACTAAAACTTACAATATATTAAATTTTAATAATTAAAATCATCATTATGATTTCGTCTAATCATATTAATTATAAATATAAAAAAAAATCATAAATCATAACTGATAATTTATGTAATTTAATGAATAATAACATAGCAAAAGAAAGAGTATTGATGTGTGTGTGTGTAAATGTAAATATAAAATATATAAATAAATAAATAAATCTAGTTTTAATAATAAACTTTCTACTAGTTTCTTCTTTCTTAAATATAAATCTAGTTTAAAACTTAAACTTTCAATTTAATTTTCATATATAGATATTTATATTATAATTATTAAATTGTAATATAAAAAAAAATTAATTTATATTTTAATTTTATTTTTAAATAAAATAAAATAAATTAATTCGTAATTGTAATTGCAATGTAATTGATAACTGTAAAATTTTCCAATGCATATTTTCACTTAAAAAATAAAAATCTAAAAAAGTGATTATTAGGTATTAAATGTAACATAATCTTAAAAACTCACTGGCGTTTAACTTCTAGAACGTAATAAAACCACAGTAGGACAATGAATGCCTTTTTTATGAATTATAAAAAAAAATAATTTAATCTAAAAGTTAACTTGGATCCTAAAGAGCACTTTTTTTATTTATAACTATTTTAAAATATTATTTTGTTTTGTTTTATTCAACTTGATACACTATATATATATGATTTGGCATGATATTTTTATGTATATAAATATAAACATATATATATATATATATATATATTTGATATATTTAATTAAATATATACGTCCTACCTCGGGAAACTGGGTCTCTGGACGCTAAACGAAGATTGATTTATTGATATATATATATATAATATATCATGATATATATATATATTTGCATTCAAATATATTTTGTGGTATTGTCCTATCTAGCAAAAGCTTACTGACTTGGCTTAAAAACACCAAAACAAAACGATGGCCGCTTATCATAGCAAGAACCATACTGGCTCCATTGCCGCCCAGGATATAGTGAATCGCGATTACTACTGATTCCGGAAATATCAGAATGGCCATATGAAATTATGTTACTGTAACAGCATCCATATTAATTCTCCTACTCCAGTCACAATAAGCGGTCAGTTAAAAAAACACTCCGCATCACACTGGATTCTAGACTAAGTTTTAAAAAATTCTTCTCTTAAAGCATGCAACTACCATCTCAAAGTAATAAATCATTGCGCCAACAATATTTGAACAACGTGCGTCAACCAACATCACAAATCATTCTTCACCATCAATTTGAAACACGCTGCCTACTTCTTTGGTCACTTATGACTAAATACTCATTTCTACTACTACCACTACTACTACTACTACCACTACTACTACTACTACTACTACTACTACTACTACTACTACTCTACTACTACTACTACTACTACTACTACTACTACTACTTCTACTACTACTACTACTACTACTACTACTACTACTACTACTACTACTACTACTACTACTACTACTATTACTACAACTACTAATACTACTAATGCTACTTCTACTACCAATACTGCTACTGTTGAGCTACTATTAGTACTACTACCGCTACTATTAATAATAATTATTATATTTTTATTATTAATATTAATGTTGGCATGGCGTAGTCAAGATACCAAATCAAATGAGCCAATGAAATCAAACCAACAAACCACGGAAACCTTTTTAACCACTTTAAGTTTACATAGAGATGATGTTTTTTGATTGGAAAAAACATATACATTATTCTGCTAAGGTGTGGTTCTCGCTTACAGCTTTAACATTATTTTTAATGATTGTCTTTTTAATGTTTTCATCTTGTTTATACACCGTTGACATTTGGTTTTTGTAATAAAAACGTATTATGATAATTACGAGTTGTTGTTGTTTTAACCGTTATTATTTAGCAGACAATTGATTTTTCTGTAGTTAGAGTCTACTATCGTTTAGAGCAGTGGAGTGTGTGAATGTCAGTTGACAAAATATGTTATGGTGCTGTTGCAGTATGATTCCCGGCATTTCCACTCTTACCATTTAAGTGCAATGCTTATTGTTGCTCTTTCATACACAGGTGTCTTGAATTAGTTATTGCAGTTTTGAAATATTTAAAGGAGGTCAAGAAAAAACAATTTGTTATCGACAGATTATTCTTTTATGAAATCTAATTCTGGTGTGTTGAATTTTTTCATAAGTTCTACAATGGTTGTCAAAGTGACGAATCTGTCGTTGAAAGGTGGTTTGAGTTATTAATGTCTTATTAATGATCTAGGGTCCAATACATATGTATGTTTATCGTGCGTGTCAGTGGTTTATAAAGTTTCAACAATGTTAATCTTTTTATAACTATGCATAAATAATTTAATTTATAAATTTTTTTCAAGTTTTATTGAAAGAGCTTGAGCATTACAAAATCCCTGTCAACTTGGCTGCCTGTTAATGCTTCAACAATTCCTACAGATAAAACCGTGCTTAAAAAAAATTAATTACAATGCACAGTAAATACATGGACAGAATAAATATATGAATAAATAAATAAAAAAGAGTTCGGTGTTGAGATGTGATGAACAAAACTTGCAATGATTCGTTGAGGTAGACCGTTCAATGATTTGTGGACGTTGAGAAAATAAATAATATACTGATCCAAATATCAGTCAAAAGTTATATTATGTCATATATCATATCATATCATGTCATATATCATCATATCATATCATATATCATATCATATTATATCATATCATATATCACATCATACCATACCATATCATATATCATATTATATTTTATAATATCATATTTTTTTAATAATTACTGTACACACAAAAAACAATACAACGTAATAAAAAATGGCATAAAATTTTGATTCAAAGCCCATACAAATATTTCGTGCATGTGGCCAACTTTGTTTTCGGAATATTTAGAACATTCCGATCATCCGTTGAGGATTAGTTAGGAAGGTGACATGCAAAAGCGGAGGACCAACGCAGAAACAATTTAAATTAAGTTTCGGGAGATAAACATAAAAAACAAAAATAATCTGAATAACGGCACTAATTACAATTCTACGTTACAATTATAACAGTTCTGTGTAAATATTTACAAATGTGGTTTCCTTTCAGGAAGATCAAATAAAGAATTGAATGATGTGCGGAAAATGGCGGCAATCGATTTGCATCATATAAATAAATGATTAAAAGTTTCATCAAGGCTTAATAAGATAAGAGCACATTGGTTTAAACTGCTTATAAAAATATATTATTCGTCGTCGATTTTAAAAAATTCGCCAAGTTTCACAGGAAGTGAATAAATTATTTATACAGCACATAATTTTCCTTATGGACAGATTGGACATAATAGGCAGTTAATATTAATTCAGAAAAAAGGTCTAGATGTAAAAAGTTAATAGAAGCAAAAGTGAAAAATTTAACCATTTGACTAAATAGTTAGAGCCCATCATTAGTTGCCATCCTAAACAAGAAAATGTGAAAGCAAATTTGAACGCAAAATTTGAAGATAATGTGAACATATCAGTGCGAACACCGTGGACATCAAAGTAAGCCGGAGAACCAAAAAATTTACATGCTGAGAACGTTGGCTCTGGTAGCCAAAGTTTTTTTTTAGATCTAGATATATAAATATAAACAAACAAAATAAACAAAAGATTAAAAAATTCAAACAAAAATACGTAGTGTTATAAAATGAGTTTTTATAATCAATAAAATGAAGTAATAATGTTGCATATAAGTTACGTACGCAAGGCACATACACTCTAATATATAATATATGAATACATTGATATGTATGAGCTTATATAAGCATGCATCGTGTTAATGATTAAGTAGATTAAAAGTTAATATGAAGCATTAAATATGAATATTCATTGAAAGATATAAAAACATGAACAAAGGAATAAGTTTTTCGTAAATATAAGGAATTAAGCATATAGTTTTATTTCACAGAACGTTGTTGAATATTTATTGGGTATCATTTATGATGTAGCTGGCGTTCAAGGCACATTGTAGGAGGTCGCTGATCTGCTTGGCATCGCGCAGAACTCTGGGCAACTTGCGCTGCGGGTTGACGAGAGTTGCTCTCCGCAGAACTGCCAGCGAGTTCTTCTCCACCTGGATGGCCTTCATTTCACCGATGCTTCCATTCTTCCGGAGCGTGGCGTACAACTCGAAGAGGTTCATCAGCTCCCTATCGAACTGTTTCGTGGCACATCAATCGTTTAATGATCAATTCAACGTTACAAATTTCCTGAAACATCTACATAATCACGTAGTCTTATACCAAGACTATGCTTCAATTTGAAATGCTCGATTAAAATATTTCTATAATTAAAAAATTATTTATTTTTGTTAAAACACACAAAAGTAGATTAAATAGGATACTGGTGAATCGTTTGTTAATCGAAAATCTGCTGCCTCACGTAAACATGTGAAACGTTTTTTTCTTATATAAAAAAATAGTTCGACCAAATTAAACTGAAGATAAACTTAGTTGAAAATATTTTTTGTTTGAAGAAAATAAAATGAATAAAAAATAATTTTGTACTTCGGTATGCAAAAAACTTTTAAACGCGAAAATAAAAAATGTTAGACAATCTCATTGCCCTTTGGAGTCAGTCATATTCATTCTCTGATCAGAGAGGTGCGTGTGTTTGTTAAGTTTGCATCTTAACAAGTCGCACTACAAGCGAGCCAAACTTTTTCATTCTTTCACCCCGTCGAAAATTTAAAAATAAAAAACCAGTCTTGCCGCTGTCGAGTTTTTTAATTGTTCCTGTTCATGTAGGCAAAAGCCAAATATAACCATATCATCTTTAATTTTATACATTAATGCAATTTTAATTGTAAAAAAATCAAGTATTAAGTTAACTATGCAATATTTACAATTTAAACGAGGTGTATTTTGCTATTATTTATGAATTTTAAAAAAATTCAGATAACTCCTCGTAAGAAATATCCAACATATCCACGTAACGAATGCATGCAGCTTTCTCTGCCTGGGTTGTTATTAGCTATTATTAGCAATTTTATTGACACCAATTTGTTTTTACAGCACTTCGCATCGTAGGTACTTCGAATGGAAATTTATGAATGAATTCGTGCACCGACGTGCCTACGTATTTTCGCAACGTTAATTTGCCAAAAGAATTCCATTTATTAACGTTTATAGGATTGTAATGTAACTAGCGCCTGTATCACCTTGTTAATGTTTACGCATAATAATAATAATAATAATAATAATAATAATTATTATTATTATTATAAAAATAATGATAATAATAATAATATTGTTAATAATGAGATAATGAGATAATGAGAACACCTTTTTATTTTCATCGTAAAAACATACATGAAATGAAAGAAACAATAATTGTCAATGATAATCAAAATAATAATAATAATAAAAAAGTTTAAAGTGTTTCAGTAGACTAGCGCCTGTGTAAGAAGCACTACAAAATAAATGCTCTAGCATCCATCATTTAATCGTTTAATTTATTGCGCAATTGAATCATTTAATTTAATGAAAGTTCACCTCTCAGGTGAGCATTAAGCAAATAAATATTATTTTAAAACTTAATTTATTTGGCTTAATTACTACATACGCTACATGTTAATTTTGTATTGTATTTTGTATTTAATTTTTAATTATAATTTGTTTTCTTTTATTGATAATTTTAATAGAAATTGTTTATTTTGTTAAGTTAAGCGGGAGGTATTAAGTACAAGTTCAAGATGGAAAAAAGAATAAAAAAGATACCATTTTGAGTTGATCTTCATCCAGGACCACATCACCTTTATTGGCATCGTAAACTTCTAACAGCAAGACGTAGTGCTTTTTCAAATATTTTTTTCCTGTAAAAACAGCGAACATGTTTGAATAGTCTACAAATAAATGTTATTCTATGCGTATGTTGCGATGGTTATAAACGAAGAAAGAAATATAATGTGATGGTTGAAGGCGGAGAGTCGTCGACTTTTAAAAAATTATTTATTTATTCTTATCATCCTCCTTTCCCTGTCAATCCTCCTCCTCCTTTTCCTCTCCATCCTCCTCCTCTTTCTCCTCGTTCTCTCTCTCTCTCTCTCTCTCTCTCTCTCTCTCTCTCTCTCTCTTTCTCCATCCTTATTTTCCAACCTACATTAGGTTTGATTAATTCACCCTAATAAACGTCACACGCTTATATGTTGAATATCCATTTTAATATTTAAAAATTTTTTTTATTACGCAGGTCAGAGCTGTTCACAAATCTCCCCACATTTGGTTTTGAATAAAAATGTCGTGCTACGTAGGCTGTCACATATTCACGTTTTCTTTTTCGTTTCCTAACCCTAACTAACATGCACTCCACACAAGATACAATCCATTTGTATGTAGCATGCACACTGCACGACGCATGCATAGATGTTGCAGCATTTTTTTTAATCTTGTAATCATATGTTTAGGTTTAAATAAAGTTTTTAAAAAACGAAACTGTTGGAAGGAAGTTGAAGGACTAACTGTAGAAGTCAGGCATGTGCAAATCTTCAGTGGCCACAAAATCGACAAGTTGGACATCGGTCATCCGTTCCATGCAGACCTCAACCGCCTTGTTCAACACATACTCCGGAGTTTTCTCCCAAAATAAGTTCAGTACTTGGCCGGTTCTAAAAGTTTTTGAAAGAACCCAGTCATGCCAAGTTCAAAAAACAAAAGTTTTAAGCTAACTTTCAAATTGTTTAGATAGCAATTTTGAATGCAACCTGTACTCAAATGTGTAGCTGGGACAGTGGTTGATGAATCCTGTGATCTTCACAACATCGCCCGTCTTGTATCGATACAGTCCGTTCTGCGACGTGTAAACTATCTCGTATTTCTCCCCTACCTTCAACTGACATTTTAAATGGAATTTAACAAACTAAAAATATTTTTTATTTTGACATTTAAAATCTAACTTCTTCAATGAAAATTGTTGTTTGGTCCTGGGGGTTAATATTAACATCAGCTTCCCGAATGAACTCGAAAAATCCATACTCTGGTTGGAAGGTGTAGCAGACACGATCCTGCCAATCGTCGTTCTCTGCCGCGTTCAGACCGAAAAATCCTTCGAAATGTATAAAAACTCGCATTAAAAATTGAAAAAGAAAAATGTTTCTGAGAGTCTTGTAAAAAGCTGCAGATAAAACGCTGGTGCCTGGATGATGAAGTCTTGAAAAAACTGTGCTTTTATTATTTACACATAATAAGCTTCCCGTGTTTTTTTTTTGCTTTTTTGTCGGAAGTAGCATAATAACTGTAAACAAGTCAATCATCAAATCATGCAAGGAAAACTTTGCAACGCTCACAAACGTGTGCTTAACGATGTAAAT